TAAGGCAAATATATGTGTCCCATGTCAGAATATATCATAAACATAAAAGGGTTTTGAATACCAGGGTACTGGAGAGGGAGCTCCTTAAAAAAAAAAACCTGGCCAGTTTGGCTCAGCGGTTGGAGCGTTGGCCTGCAGACCAGAGAGTCCGGGTTTCGTTTCTGCTAGGGGCACGTACCAAAAACAAAAAAACAAACAAAAAAATCTAACTGTAAACATAGGCACCAGATAAAAGTTAAGGTTTCTAGCAAAGTATCTTTCAAATTGTGTTTCACAGGACACTAGACCTCATCACAAGTACTTTTACAACTTAAACAATGAACATATAGGAAAGGACAAACTGGATGCTGAGACTGATAAAAGGTAGGTATTACTCAGTATCTCCAAGTTCTAATTTGCATTTATAAAGTTTCATTGTTCTAATTGAGTTTATAAATAAATGTTATACATTTTATTAAACTAGGGGGATGGGTGGAGGTGGAAGAGGGCATAGAGGGGATAAGTGGTGATGAAAAAATTCAATTAAATTAGGTATGAACACTGCATAACACAATGTTGCCTGATAGAAACTTTTTCTAAGTAAAGGTAGACAATGCAATTTAATGCCTACAATTTAATGTGACTCTCTTAGAAAAACTGGAGGGAAGACATAGGATATCTATGAATATTTAAAATAAATCATACTCATGGCTATAGTGCTTTATATAGCTTACAGACCTCACATTACTTCAAAAATCCCAAAAATAGACTCCAAAGTACTTAGCTAATACTACTCTCTTTCACAGATAAGGAAATAGTAAAAAGAATCATCACCTGCCCAGAATTCACCCTGATCAGTATTGAAGAAGCTGACTAAAAAACAGGCTATCAATCTTCAAAGGGGTAGGAATATGAAGTTAGAAGTAAAAGTTGACGATCTCCATGAAATTTACTTCAATTACTCTGATTTTTAAAAACGGAAAAGGAAAACAAATGTCAGTGACAGTATTAAAAAGAAACATATCCAGGAATAATACATAAGATACTAGTAATACAATTATCTCTGAAGAGAAAATCAGGTGATGAGAAAGGTGATCATAGGGGTGGGAAGGGGAACTTTTAACCTGTGGTTGACTTTTGAATCATGTACATGTATTACTTCATGGTTCTAAGGAACATACTTTTTGAAGGCTAAAACAGATATAAATATATATGTATTTTATTTTATTTTTTTCTTTATTGATTTGAGAGAGAGAGGAAGGGTGAGGGAGAGAGAGAAAAACATCAATAAGAGAGAACATCAACTAGCCGCCTCCTGCATGCCCTCACTGGAGATTTGGCCCAACCTGGGCATGTGCCCTGACAGGGAATAGAACCTGTGACCTCTTGATGCATGGGTTGATGCTCAACCATTCAGCCACACCAACTGGGCTAAATATATGTATTTTAAAAAGAATTTTAAGAAAATAAAAACATAATTGTCCTTTAAGAGAAAAATTGATTTCAAAGGCCAAAAAACTAAAGACAAGACTAGTCCAAGTGTTGCCCAAACATTGCCCACATTTGATTGTGGTACCTATAAAAGTACAACCCATTTTTATATATAAATATTAGGAAAAATCACAGAAAATTTCTTTTTTTAGGTCATCCATAAATAACTACTATTAATAATTTAGTGTGTTTCTCTACATATCATGATTGTGTTAACATTTTTAGATGTATGTTTTATCAAATAAAAAAAAATTCCTGTTTCTAATTTGTTACCATGAATACTGCATTTTATGGAAAGTTCATTCTACATCCATCATGATCACAGGTCTTCTTAAGTATGGAGTATCTTGTATTAACAAGTTGAATCATACTTGCATTCCGCAATAAACCTTACATAGTCATGATTTTGTGGTTTTGCTCTGAATAATTCCAGTTTCTGATATTTATATTTTTTGTGTCTATTTTTATAAGATTGGTATAAATTTTCCTTTTACTATTCATGTTCAATTCTGTTATAAAATGAATTGAGTAAGTTTCTTTTAATATTAGAGTTAAGGAGACCATAGGTCAAGATTGGGTTTTTTCCTAATTCTTTGCTATTATAAATAAAACTGAAATGAAATCTTGACCATATTCTTGTTTCCTCAGGGCGAAAGATCAAAAGTGTGATAACATGGTCAAAGTGCCACCTTAGGGAAGCCCTTATAATTTATGTTTATGAAATAAATTCTACATTCCTACACATTTATGTATAACAAATACAAAATTGCCATTTTAGACACCACAGGCCCTTGCCTTTAAGGTGACAGTCTCCATCCCCACTGCTTCACAGTTTCACTTTTCCCTTACTTTACATATATTCATTGGAAGTCCTTTTTCTTCTGACTCATTACCTAAAGATAAACTGTCATTCCAATTTAATGACTAAGTAGTCTCTTCCATTCTTCAGTCTGAAAAATGTCTGAGATGCAAAAAACTTCATGAAACTTTACACTATCAAGCTCACTGCAGCTTGAAAGGTTAAGTTCCACCTGTGAATCACTGTGTTTCACCACTTACAACAGTGGGAAAGAAGCAGTGACACGTGTATAACTACATCTACCCCTTCAGAGACAAAACTACGAAGGCAGAGTCATTATATGAGAGTGGGTTGAGGGACATAAAGCCAGAACTATATTTCTGCCCTAAGTTTAGTCCCACTCATTAGGAGGTAGAGGGTTGAGGGGAAGAAATGCTGTTAAGAATTAACAAAACAGCCCTGGCCAGTTTGGCTCAGCAGTTAGAGCATCGGCCTGTGGTCCAGAGAGACCTGGATTCAGTTCCCGCTAAGGGCATGTACCTCGGTTGCAGTTTGTCCCCGGCTTGTCCCCGGCCCTGGTTGGGTCGTGCGGGTGGCAGCTGCTCAATGTGTCCCTTTCACGTCGATGTTTCTCTCTCTCTCTCTTCCTCCCACTCTATCTGAACAAAAAATGGAAAAATGTCCTAGGGTGAGGATTGAAAAAAAAAAGAATTAACAAAAGAGCCCGTCCAGTGTGGTTCAAGGGTGGTTGAGCGTCAACCCATGCACCAAGAGGTCACTGGTTCAATTCCCAGTCAGGGCACATGCCCAGGTTTGGGGCCCAATCCCCAGTAGGGGGCATACAGGAGGCAGCCAATTGATGTTCTCTTTCATCAAGATTTCTCTCTCTCTCCTTTCCTCTCTCTCTAAAAATCAATAAAGAAAAAAAAAAATTTTTTTAATAAAAATTAACAAATATAGCTTGACTTATTCTTAGCAAATTCATTAGCAAGTCCTGTCAGTTCTACTTCCAAAACACATGCCAAAACCACTTTACATTTGCACAGCCACCATGTCAGTCCAAGCTGCAGCGTCTCCTTTAGATTACTGTAATAGCCTCCTGATTTCTCTGCGTCCAGACCCACCATTCATTCTCACACACGCACGCACACACACCACAATCCCCATAACCACCACATTTCCAGTAACCAGAGTGGTCTTTGTAAAATTAAATATTTAAAAAATTATTCAAAAGTATATTTAAATTTTAGAATTTCATTAAAATCCTTATTTGCTTTTTATTATATCTAGACTAAAATTCAAACTCCCACAGTGCCCTACAATGCCCTGTATGATCTGACTGACTCCAAGTTTTGTACTCATTCTGTATTACTCCAACTCCACTGGGCTCCTTTTAAATCCTCCATTATAATAAGCTATTTTCCACCTCAGTCTTTACACCGCTTCTTTCCTCTACCTAGAAGAAACCTCAGCTAGCTTGGTACTTCTCAAAGATGAGCTTAAACATCACAATCCAATCCAAAACATCTTTTTTTAATCCCTCAGGCATTGTCTTCTTTGCACTCATTACCACCTCAAATTAATTTGTTACTGTATACATCTATCCCTCATGAGGGCAGGAACTTGGTGTTTTATTTATCACTGTATCCCCATGTGCCTAGAAACAGTACCTTGCAAATATCAGGTACACACATAAACATTTGTAAAACAAAAACATCAGGTACACACATAAGCATTTGTAAAACAAATAAACCAAAAAAAAGTGGCTCTTATTTAAGATATATAAGAAACAAGTAAGGTAAAAGAAAGGGATAATTAAAAACAAGGTAGGAAACATTCCACAATTAGCATTTGCAAGTAGATAGGCTGGGTATTATTGGATCTATTATCAACAAGCATCCAGAGTGTGTTTCCAAACGCTCACTGGAAATATGTCAAGTGGAATAGTTTCATTTGCTATACACATATGCTAGCCCACATGTATGATACAACAAACAATCCTTTTATGCAGACACTCCCAAAAAACCCTGTAATGTACACAAAAAGCAACAAAACACTTAAAAACCACCTGCTACATTATTTTAAAAAACAAACAGTATTTCTGCCAGTGGTACTTATATATAAACTATTAAATTTACACTAAAACTCAACCTCTTAAGTAAAGGTCCTTAAGTAAAGACCTACAAGAGGTAAGTCTTCAGGACAGGTCTAACTACCTATAATATCTAAGAAACTGCCTCACATACTGTATTTCTTGGAAGAATACTACAACTCAAACAAAAAATACATAAAATTCACCACAATGTTAGCAGTCTCTTTTAACTCCTTACAGACTAAAATTTTAACCAAGAGGGTAGAAAACTATTACTGCTGCACTAGTGACAGAAATGCACTGAATCTTTATTCAAATGTCAATCACAGAACTTAGTAACATACAAGGAAGCATTTAGGCAACAAAGGCAAATGAAGACAGTGAAGATGAAACTTAATACAACTAAAATATTTTATTCTGCTTGATTAAAGCTCACTGTTCAAGAAAATTACTTGTAAAATAAACAAGTCTAAAGAGTACAACAAAATAAATACAACAGGCTAAAAATAGCTGTCCTAACTTAATAATCACTATTCAGAGATGACTTGAAAGTAATAAAATTTCAATAACTCTCCTTCAGAATCCTTTAAGCAATTTTCAAAAGGATGATCATCAAAATTCTGCTCTAACAACACTTACCTTGGTATGGTGACACATTTAGTATTACAATTTTGAGTGGTGATGGCTTTCTCAAGCTCATCTAAACGTCCTGTTTTCTTTAGCTTCTTCACCAAACTTTTAACTGCTTTCTCACACCACTTTTCTTCCTGTCCATTCTGCTCTCCTCCACCTGCTCCTCCAGATCCACCAGCTGATTTCTTCCATCCCAGCAGTCTTTTCACAACTGGTGGAGTGAATGGCAAGATGGACGACATGTTCTTACCAAAAGCAGCAATCCACACTAAGGAAATATCCTCCTTTAATCTAGAAAAGATATGGAAAAAGTAATTTAGAGGCTGACTTTAAAATCAAGCAATAATGTCAACATGGTATTAAAAGCAAATTACAAAGTGAGATAAAAATTCAAATTATTACTTTCACAACAGACTTTCAGAAGTTCTCTTCTTCACCATTGAAATGTCTTAACTAATTTTTAAAAATTGTGGAAATAAATCCTTTCACAAAAAAACACAATGTTATAAGTGGGTAAATAGAATAATTTTGCTAGTAAAATCTTTATCAACACTGAACCAGTTAATCACTATCAATACTACTTTAACTTTTAACAGTGTCAATAATTTTAAAAAAATTTTTTATCCTCACCCAAGGATATTTTTGCATTTATCTTCAGATAGAGTGGGAGGGAGAGAGGAGGAAGAGAGAGAGAGAGAGAAACATCGACTGGCTGCCACCCACACAACCCCAACCGTGGCCTGGGACAAACTGCAACCGAGGTACATGCCTTTATTGGGAACCGAACCCAGGACTCTCTGGTCCGTGGGTCAACACTCTTAACTGCTGAGCCAAACCGGCCAGGGCTAAAATATTTTCACCAAAAGAAAAGCTTTTCTCACTTCTTAGAACTTCAATCTAATTCTCCACTTTACAAAAAAAATTTTTTTTTAATTTACAAGCCCACTCTCCCCCAAATTTTAAACTTTCATAACTGACTTGGTATCATAAAACAAAATCTAAAGTTATAAGAAGGGAAAAGTGTAGATAAGAATAATAAAAAAAATTAAAGGTAAAGCGAGTCTAAAGAAAAAGTTTGGTTCACTTTTATTTCTATTCCTTGAGAAGATTTTTTTAATTAAGCTTCTTTTTAAAAATGTATTTTCATTTTTATGTACATAATAATGTACACAGTGAATATAGTCAAATATAGTTGCCTTTTCACACCAATGTACAATTTTTTGAAATCTTTAAACTTTTATTTAATCTTGCTATTTATAACTCAGTACAATAGCACACCCACCCTCATCTGCAATTTCACTTTCTGGGGTTTCACTCATCCTTGGTCAACTGTGGTCCAAAATTATTAGATGCAAGATTCCAGAAATAAACAATTCTTAAGTTTTAAGTTTCATGCCATGCTCAGTAGCATGAGGAAATCTAGTCCTGTCTTACTCTATCCTGCCCAGGATGTGAATCATCCCTTTCTCCAGCATATCCACAATGTGTGTTCTCCACCCTCTGGTCACAAAACAGTTGTCTTGGTTATTAGATTGGTTATCAGGAATAAAGAGACAGACCATATTCACATAACTTTTATTATAATATAGTTATAATTGTTCTATTGATTACTACTAATTGTTAATCTCTTACTGTGTATAATTCATAAATTAAATTTATCATAGGTATGTACTATAGAAAAAAAAAAAACACAGTAAATATAGAATGCATCCACTAGGGATCTTGAAATGTATTCCCAATGGATAAGGGGGACTACTATAATAGGCTTATAATGGTATTCTTTGAAATATAAAGCTTAAATATTATCTATTCATTTTTCTGTGGAATATGAGGATTTACACCACTCATATTCCTCCAACCTTAAAGACAATTAACTCTCCCAATTGTAGTTCTGTACCTGATGAGATTAGCAGTAAACTACTACTTAATCATGTTTCCCTTTTGTATAACTCTTTCCCCCCAAGTTAATTATCTTAGTTTATTATTTGCTTAGTTTTCTATGCACCTACCACAAATTCTTCCTACAGTCTCCACAAGCATCTTAATTAAATTTTAATGTTGATGACTTCAATCTCAAAAGACAAAATCATTTACCACTTGAGGATAGAACTGAAAAGTTAAGATTTGAGACAAAAAATATTCAGAAACCTAATTCTGAGAAATACTATATAAAATCAACTAGAGTAAAATAAATGTCATCAGGTATTTATCAGACTATATATATAATAAAATGCTGTTATTGATTTTTTTTTTTTTTTTTTTTTTTAATCCTCACCCGAGGACATTTTTACATTTTTTGTTCAGATAGAGTGGGAGGGGGAGAGAGAGAGAGAAACATCGACGTGAAAGGGACACATCGAGTGGTTGCCACCCGCACAACCCAACCAGGGCCGGGGACAAACTGCAACCAAGTTACATGCCCTTAGCGGGAACTGAACCCGGGTCTCTCCGGACCGCAGGCTAACGCTCTAACCGCTGAGCCAAACCGGCCAGGGCCTGTTATTGATTTTTTAGAGAAAGGAAGGGATAGAGAGATAGAAACATTCATATGAGAGAAGCATCGATTGGCTGCCTCCTGCATGCCCCGTACTGGAGAGTGAGCCTGCAACCTGGGCATGTGCCCTAATGTGAAATCGAACTGGGACCTCTCAGTCCATGGAACAATGCTCAATCCACTCAGCCACAACGGCTGGGCCAGACTATATATTAAGAAGTATTCAATGAGCCCTGGCCAGTTTGGCTTAGCGGTTAGAGCGTCGGCCCGCGGACCAGAGTGTCCCAGGTCCGGCTCATGCTAAGGGCACGTATACCTCAGATGCAGTTTGTCCCCAGCCCTGGTTGGGGTCGTGTGGGTGTGATGTGTTTCTCTCACATCGATGCTTCTTTCTCTCTTCCTCCCCCTCTCCCTCCCACTCTATCTGAAGATAAATGCAAATATGCGCTCGAGTGAGGATAAAAAAAAAAGTATTCAATGAGAGGAGTTCCACCCCTAATCAGGTGGTAGAAAGTCACAACAGACTATCACATTCACCCTAATAATCAAAACAACCCAGATAAGCCGCAAAATCATGGTTTTTCTGAACCCATCAGAGAGTTAAGGATGCAAAGTAACCTAAGTGAAACTTTCAGAATGTGTTGAGACTTAATAGAAGAGAGGTCCATTGGTAGTCTCTTTCCTGGTGGAGTGACTAAGGAGGACCAATCCCACCATAAATGAGAGTATGGAGAAATCAGTCTAACTTAAATAAATCTTAACAGCAACATGTAGGGCTGACAAGGCATATTAGAATTCTAAAGATTTCTTACAGCAAACCTGAACTACCCAAACAACTCATTCCCACAGGTCTTCACCAAGTGCTTGAAAATATGCCAAAGGTTGGGGGACAAAGCTGGAAAGCCGAGAGATACCCTAAGAACCTTAAGGTCTCCCTCAAATATAATAAATCTGTCCTCTGACTGGGGGAGAGGGGAAGGATGGGCAGAAGTGGAATAAAAATCACTCAAAAAACTCCAGACATTCAGCTGCCAAGAGTTGAGTCAAGTTGGACAGGAGAGTTGAGAGAAACACTTCTACCCAGATACTCTGGACATTAAACTAGATTTTTAAATAACTATGATAAATACACTGAACGTTATCTGATGGAAGAGAGATGGCATGCATAATGAAATGGAGAAATTCATTATAGACACTGAAGCTATAAAAGAAAATCACAAGGAAATGTTAGAAATAAAAAATACAGTATCAGAAATTAAAGATGTTTAGATGGGTTTTAATAACAGACAGAAATGAGCAGTGAATTTGAAGAAAGGCCAAATTCAAATACCTAAATTGAAATACAAAGAGAAAAGTGTATGGAAATAAACTCCACAACACCTGAGACCAAATGTCAACTGAGTTTAACTGGAATCCCAGGAGATAAGAGAATGTGGCAGAAAAAAATATATGATGAAATAATGGTCAGCAGCTTTCTAAAAATGATGGCCAATAACCCACAGATGCTAAGGAAACATACTCATAGTCAACCTCATGAATATTAAAGATAAAAGTAAAGACAAAGAATGAGTGTCAGCTAGAACGACAGTTAAGAACCCCTGGAAGAGGAATATTCACTCATTCCCAAGAGCTTTTACAAGGTCCTCAACTGAGTTCTCTTGAAAAAGACGGGCCTACCGCAATAGATGCAAGAGGGCTCCTCCTTCTTAATGGCATCCCATATAAAGCAAAAGCCTTCAAACAGAAGGGAAAATGCAGGAAAGCCTCCTTTGCCCCCCCAAAAAAGACCCCTTGCCTCAAGTGCCACAAAGGGTAGAGCAAAAGCTGTGTACTGTTGGGGATGGGGAAGCAGAACCTTCTTGCCCACTTCCCACACACAAACAAGCTTTCTCCATGTAACAATACCCAGTCTACTGCTAGAAGACACAAAACATTGCCACCATCAGTCCCAAAGGTATACTGACACCGAGAAATTAGTAGAATTAAAAACTATCTGACATTGAAACAGGAGCAAGAAACTGACCCGGGCCCAATATCTTGATGCAAAGCAAAGGTCTGCTACTACTAGACGCAAAAATCCTTAACAAAATATTAGCAAATCACATCCAGTAACACATATAGAAAAGGTAATACATCATCATCAAGTGGGGTTTACCCCAAGGGGCAAAACTGGTTTAACATTAAAAATATCAAGCACCTCATTTGTAATATAAAGGAGAAAATCCTTATGATTCTCCTAACTGATGTCAGAAACATCTGACACTATTAATGTAATATTCCTGATTAAAAATTTTCAGCAGCCCTGACCAGTGTGGCTAAGTTAGTTGGGTGTTATCCCATACACCAGGAGGTTGCTGTCAAGGGCACATGCAAGGGGTTTCAGGTTGAATCTGCAGAAGGGGGTGCGCAGGAGGCAGCCAAACGATAGATGTTGCATTCTCACATGTATGTTTCTCTCTCTCTCTCCCCCTTACTTTCTAAAATATTCAATAAACTATTCTTTAAAAAAAATAAAAATAAAATTTTCAGCAAATTAGAATTATAAAGGAGAAAGAAGTTCTTCAACCTGAAAAAGGACATATATGAGAAACCTAGAGCAGTAACATTAACAA